ACTAAACTTACTCAAATACATAGTTAGAAAAATTACAAGTCATCATTTCGCTGTTAAAGTATATGAATATAACGTTATTTGTGGCGGGAATAACGGTCGAGTGTGTCAGAATCATAATAACACAAACACACGACGTGCCACATGACTTGCCACATCGAGTTTTGCTTATCGATCAGGTTTGCCACATATATGACATTTATTTAATGTTAAAAGTAAAAGTTACTCACCTACAAGGTGCACAAAAACAAGTACGAGCGCATTCCTCCAAACAGTCGCCATATTCACAGCCGACAGTCTGCAGGAGTGAAGCAGGTCTGAGGTAAAACAAATAACTTACCCTCACATACTCACACACGCAGTTTAAAAACACGCCTGCTCTCGTCATGAGCTCAAACCCTGCCCTCAAAGCCAGAGTAAATCTTCAGTAAAGACTCATTTACGCAAATAATATCCGAATTCAACGACCGAATTGAAATAAATAATGAAAATGGTGTCTGGTTAGAACGGAAACCTACGTTTTTCTAAGGCTAACTAATTAGCTAATTCTTTTTGCCAGCAATTGCTCTAATAGTTATTAGCTGCCTATATTTGACAGTTCTCAAAAGTTTCTAAATGACAAAATACTATAGTACATTTGTTTTTTTTTTTTAAACATACACTAGTAATGTACTTGAATTGATCTGTTGTTGTAAGTGTATAGTTGCTATGGTATTAAAGCAACTGTAGTAACATTAATATAAACAAAGCAACGTTAGTTTTTTACAATTAAGTTTGTTATGCTAAGTTTACCGCAGTAAAAACTAAAGTATTTTATCGATTCACTAGTTAATATTACAGTAGCATATTTCAGCAATAATACACTAAAATATGGACATTTTGTTATTATTTTGACTATTTTCTTGGATGTAAACAGCAATATATTCTTTTAAATTAAACTTAATATTCCACCAAATCCATTCACGCAAAGTACAAAAAACTTCAGTATGAAAATTGAAACCACAATATTTCATCTGCAGTGTCTTTAAATGAAGTTTCACAAACTAATTTCGAGAGGAGCACGTGATATGATTGACTGCAGCTGGCCACTCATCTACACTCATTGGCTAGCCAATCGGATCGATCCAAACTCACTTTAAATAACCTAGCTAAGATCTACTCCCTTATCTTCGTTTTCCGAAGAAACCCCCCATCCACCCCTTTTCCTCCTTTCCTCTTTTGCCGAGGGGAGCTCTCGAGAACACCTGACCTCGTACTCCCTTCACATGCTTTATGGACCTGGCGGGAGCCCAGGGCTCAACTATCTCCGAGCTCAGGGTTCTCTCCCGGGACAGCATGCCAAACCAGCTAACTTGCTAACAAGTTGTCAAACAGTATCTAAGTGTGAACTCTTGAAAGATTATTTGTTAACAGGGTTACATTCAGTTGGCAAGGCTTCAACATTTTTATTTATTTGTTCGTTTACCTTAAATTGTTTTACAAATGCAAAATTCACCTTTCTTAATCAGGGGTCGCCACAGCAGAATGAACCGCCAACTTATCCAGCGCATGTTTTACACAGCGGATGCCCTTCCAGCAGCAACCCAACACTGGGAAATACCCATACACACTAGCATTCACACTCATTCATACACTATACTGCCAATTTAGCTTATTCAATTCACCTATATCCAAAACCGCTCCAATTGGTCCACCGTTTTTATGTTGTTAATTTTTGTGTTAAATTTTATGTTGTTTAAATTATGTGTTTATATCACCCCAATATGACTGTCTATACACTACACCTACACACGTCTGTCCAAACAGCTTGAAAAGTAGGTGCCCTTTAAAAAAACGTAGAATGAACTCGCGTTGTTTTCATCACGACTGATGCCGACAAGGAAATCACTGAAAGTGTAAACAAACATGAAATATTATAGGTATATTTGACACTGATATTTTTGCACTTTATGGATTAATGTGCACATTTTTTCTCCAATTGATTAACCCAGACCAGGGTTAATCAGGTAGTGATAATAAATAATATATTAATAATTATTAGTAACCCTATTAGTAGAAATCACTTTGTTTTAATAGTTAAGATGTCCAAAAATATTGCCCAAAATTCTGCTACTTTTTCTGCTATCCTTCAAGCAGTTGGCATTTCTGTGTGGAGTTTGCATGTTCTCCCCGTGTTGGCGTGGGTTTCCTCCTGGTGCTCCGGTTTCCCCCACAGTCCAAACACATGGTGAATTGGATTAACTAAATTGGCCTTAGTGCATGTGTGTGGATGTGAATGGGTGTTTCCCAGTACGGGATTGCAGCTGGAAGGGCATCCGCTGTATAAAACATATGCTGGAATAGTTGGCAGTTCATTCCGCTGTGGCAACCTCTGAAACAGAGACTAAAATGGACGAAAATGAACAAATCAATCAATGTTACACTAAATGATTATGGGACTTTATTACTCATATTCAAACATTTTATTAATGGATAAGTTATTTGAAAGACTGAAGCACACATTTAATAGCATTTAAAGCACTTTCTATGTTGGTCAAAATCACTCTTGTGCTGTAAAAATGATTGGCAGATGAATGTTTTTAACTCTTTATCACAGTGCACCATACTGCATGTACGTTTATCTAAATCATAATGCCCAAGGACTACTCAGATCTATCATAACGTCTAACAGTACACACTGAACGACTTTATAATCTATTACACATCATACACGTCAGGCTTCAAGCCGTGTGGTTTGTAGTCTAATTCATGCTTTCTCTACACTTTTATCTTAATTTGTGCTTCTATAATAATATTAATAATAATAATAACAATAATAATTACACGTCAACCAACATATGCATGAGCAATTCTAGCATTATGCATGTGACATTAACTCTTAAAACAAAAATTCACAGTGAAAAGTATACACTCACCGGCCAGTTTATTAGGTACACCTTATTAGTACCGGGTTGAACCCCCTTTTGCCTTCAGAACTGCCTTAATCCTTAAGATTCAACAAGATACTGGAAATATTCCGTAGAGATTTTTCTCCATATTGACATGATAGCATCACACAGTTGCTGCAGATTTGTCGGCTGCACATCCATGATGTGAATCTACCGTTCCACCACACCCCAAAGGTGCTCTATTGGATTGTGCTCTATTGGATTGAGATCTGGTGACTGTGGAGGCCATTTGAGTACACTGAACTCATCTGTCATGTTCAAGAAACCAGTCTGAGATGATTCGCGCTTTATGACATGGTGCGTTATCCTGCTGAAGGTAGCCATCAGATGATGAGTACACTGTGGTCATAAAGAGATGGACATGGTCAGCAACAATACTCAGGTAGGCTGTGGTGTTGACACGATGCTCAATTGGTACTAATGGGCCCAAAGTGTGCCAAGAAATATTCCCCACACCATTACACCACCACCACCAGCCTGAACCTTTCATACAAGGCAGGGTGGATCCATGCTTTTATGTTGTTGACGCCAAATTCTGACCCGACCATCTGAATGTGTCAGCAGAAATGGAGACTCATCAACCCAGGCAACGTTTCTCCAATCTTCTATTGTCCAGTTTTGGTGAGCCTGTGTGAATTGTAGCCTCAGTTTCCTGTTCTTAGCTGACAGGAGCGGCACGCGGTGTGGTCTTTTTTTGCTGTAGCCCATCTGCCTCAAGTTTGGACGTGTTCAGAGATGCTCTTCTGCAGACCTCAGTTGTAACGAGTGCTTATTTGAATTACTGTTGCCTTTCAATTAGCTGGAACCAGTCTGGCCATTTGCACCCACAGAACTGCCGCTCACTGGATATTCTCTCTTTTTCATTCTCTGTAAACCCTAGAGATGGTTGTGCATGAAAATCCCGGTAGATCTGAAGTTTCTGAAATACTCAGACCAGCCCATCTGGCACCAACCATGTTCCATGTCACTTAAATCCTGTTTCTTCCCCATTCTGATGCTTGGTTTAAACTGCAGCAGATCGTCTTGACCATGTCGACATGCCTAAATGCATTGAGTTGCTGCCATGTGATTGGCTGATTATTTTCATTAATGAGCAGTTGGAAAGGTGTACCTAATAAAGTGGCCGGTGAGTGTATGTAAACATTATATTAAAACATCTGTTTATATTTTCCATAACAACTCACCACAGAGTTATGAGATAAAAAAAAAAAATCAATCTGTAAATATATTTAATATTTTAAATGAGGAAAATAAACATTTTATGATGTATTTGCTTTGGTTTAAATCTTAGTGAAACTAGTCTATCTTTGGTAGCAGAAGTTGAGATGTTGAACATGTTTTCAAACATGTCATTAAAACAAGCTCAAACATGCTTTAATAATGTCAGCAGGACTTTTTTTCATGTGGAGAATTATCACGTCAACATAAATCACAGGATGTATCTTTGAGGATAAGATGGTAAAATAATAATTTAGAGAGAGAGAAAAAAAATGATGGACTCGATCCAACTTCAAACAGTTTATAGCTAAAAAAATTAAGTAAAATTACATTTATAAGATTTGATGATGCAAAAAAATAGTTTCAGTTAATTTACTCCCCCCCAAAAAAAGAAAATAAATAAAATGGGGAAAAATATCTTGAATAAACTGCACTTATTATTATTATTATTTATTTCAGCTATATGTCAAGTAAATATGTTTAACGTTCATTTAGTTTGACGATGTTCTTGAGTAAAACTCAAATACAATTATAAATACTTGAGACATATTTCAACAAAGCAAAGTAACAAACATGCAGCTGAATTAAATAAAAACGTATAAGATAAGACGATGCAGTGGTGCAGGGTAGTGCTGTCGCCTTACAGCAAGAAGGTCGTTGATTTGAGCCTTGGCTGCGTCGGTTGGCATTTCTATGTGGAGTTTGCATGTTCTCCCTGTTTTCGCGTAGGTTTCCTCCGGGTGCTCCGGTTTCCCCCACAGTCCAAACACATGCAGTACAGGTGAATTGGGTAGGCTAAATTGTCCGTATAGTGTATGAGTGTGAATAAGTATGTATGGATGTTTTCCAGTGATGAGTTGCAGCTGGAAGAGCATCCGCTGCGTGAAACATGAGCTGGATAAGTTGGCGATTCATTCCGCTGTGATTAATAAAGGGACTAAGCGGAAAAGAAAATGAATGAATGAATGAAAGATAGAATAAAGTAATTTAAAATACATCTAAAAGCATAGTTAAAATAATTTTACAAAATTAGGAGTCAAATGATGTGCCTGTCTTTAAAACCTGGGTTAAGAGCTTACACAAGTTATGTGTAGCCCATGGAAGAAATGCGATATGGGATGGCAAGCAAACTAAACATATTTTTTTTAAATCTGGAACCCAATTATTATTTTTTATATCAGTTTTAT